TAGCATCATAAGATAATGTATTTCTCCATTAGGAGAAGAACGAACTCGAATAAGATTTAGTTCGTTAGATGTTATCTATTACCCATATATAGGATATATACTTCTAAAACAATATGATTGTCAATGAGAAGATCTTCCAATATTTTCATGACTCCATAAGATGTAGTTGGAAAGAAAGACAAAATCTTAAAACATATTAAGATTTGGGGTTGTGTGCTAATAAGCAATATTTGTTTGATAACAATCTTGTGGGATATCCTTAAATTAACTTTTGGATATCGCTTCTATATACCAACTAACAAATGTTGTTTTGTTGGGTAGTTCATTGTAATCCTACAATGTGATTTGCCTAAGAGCAAATGAACGAGGGATAGAACTCAAAGAATGGTTCTTTGAGAGACAAGAAAGTAATCAACAAATATAACAACCTAGTTCCTATACCAAAAGCTCTAAGGTAGTCGAGAAGGATTTATAAACCGTCTCAGTTGAATGGTTTGAACTTTATAACTATGTCATAGAGTTACACGTCTTACTTCGAAAGAAATAAGAATGAAAATCCTTATGACTACATTGAGTGCATATACGATATATACTCAAGGAAATGGTAAAGTACCATTTGACCCGAAATAATGAAACCTTCATAAGCTAATTGGTAGCTTAAGGTGACTACAATCAAAGAGAATGGTTGACTTTGAAGGAACCATTTTTGACGTAGTCTTAGTTTCAATTAATTTGAAGATTGCTAGCGACAACTAAATGGTGATACAATGTTTGGACATTATATGGGTTTCCGAAACCATTATTAAGATAGTCTTGATAATATATATATGTCTAAAACTATGAATCACAAGACATATAAGTTGTAGAGATCCATCCATCATGGTCTTAGCAAGCTAGTGGGAGCTATAAACGTCTTATGAGAGAAAGGTCAAATCGTTTGCTTTCTCATAAAGATGTAAATGAATCTTTTGTTTACTAGGTTTACAAAAGATTAGTGGGAGTTAATCATATTCCTAAATTTGTATATATATATAAATATATATGTGATATATATGAAAATATATATGATATATTAATTTTGGAAATGAAAAGAATACTTCTTCGTTAAAGTTATGACTTTAACATTCTATAACGATAGAATATATATGGGAGACATAGTCTATAAACATGGGATGGAAATCTATATTGATAGATTTCAAGACATAATTTGATTATATCAATCCCTAATAATAGACAAAAGTTGCTAGGAAGTTTCTCATATGATGATAAACTTCAATTAGAAGGATGACTCTAGTGTGACTAGCAAGTTGGCCTTCTCAAAGGGAACGTACCCTTTGACTCCCAAAGAAATAATGCGTAAATAGAATCCTTTATGCATAAGCATAAAGGTGATTTATGTATTTCATATTGTATGAAAACATTGATATGAGTTGTACCTAGAACGGTACAAGACGATATCAGTGCAAGCCCAGGATCAGAACCATGGCAACTGTCAAGTGAGTCCTTAAGTATTTAAGAAATACTAAAGGATAGATTCCTCAAAGAATGAGGAAGAATTAGAGTAACGTAATGGAAGCGTAAATGTATTAGATTATGAATCTAATCCATCATTGGATGTTTCTTCATTATGAATGAAGAGATAAACGGATATCTCTTTATTATGACTAAAGAGATATTTGGATGGAAACATTAAAGTAATGACTTTAGTGTGCTCCATTATGAATGCAAAATATATTGCCATAAAGAAGTTTACAACAATGTTGTTTGGATGGGAAAGTTCATTTATGAACTCTCTATTCGGTTCCAACCAGAAAGTGTATGACACTAATGGGGCGATAGCTCAAGCCAGGGAATCAAGGTCTCATCAAGATCCGAACTCAAATGAGAGACTGAACCACATGATTGAGAATCATGTATAATGGTGACGTCATTATTCTCAAGGTTGCTTCTATGGATAACATATAGATATCCATTGCCTAGGCCTACTATTCAGCCATTTATGAAATGACTACAAAAGAGGTATCATCACTGATGAATAAGCTGATTGGCTCTAGTGCAAGTTGGAGATTGTTGGAAATGTGCCCTAAAGCCAATCATATGATGATACTTTACGTACATTTCACATGTTAAACTAATCTAGTTTAATATAAAGGGCAAAGATTATTGTTTGAGCCGTCTCATATAAATGTTATATGCTTAAACGATAAAGTCCAAGGAATATGTGATTGGGAGAATGTAATCTAATGAAGTTAGATTCATGAGACCATTCTTTCGTAGACACATCCTAAATGTTCCTGATCATAGGATTGCCAATTGGGCATTGACAGTCCATCAAGATCGGTACGTGCTATGTCTTCTCTCAGGGAGAGTGACTAGTCTCGAGTCATTGGTGTGTGTGACATCAAGACAAGTACGTAGGTGCTCAATAGAGAATGAGTTCACTGAACGTGATCGACGAAGAGTTCTCATACTCATGTCACATGAGAACTCATGGTTGGGATAATGCAAAGTAGTCCTTTGACCTGAGGCATCATAGTTGTCTTGTGGTTAAGTCCTTGATCTTTGATTATGTCAAAGTCACTCTATCAGGAGGGTGTCCACGGCATCGTTGGGGTTAAGCCACTTAGCCATGGAGGCAAGTGAATGCGCAACAAGGGATCTCTAACCTTCAAACTGTTTGAGGGAGGGAGAATACTCTATGATATGATGATTTAGAATCTCTGGCCAGAGTATGAATGAGATTTAGAAAAGTCGTTCTAAATCACATTCAAGGAAATCATATAAGCACACGAATCACATTGGATAGTAGACATGAACATATAAACTATCAAACCAAACAATGTGGTCAAGAGTATTAGATTAGAGAAAGACCGTATTGCATTTGTAATCCCAAACTGAATAGGTTCTCTAACCTCTTCTGATTAGCTTGGGTAACCATGATATGCTGCTAGGTGCCACTCATGGTTTGTGGAAGCCCTAAACGTGTGTAATCACTAAAGGGAGAATTGAAAGTAAGTTTCAATTCATAATCGATGATGTAAAATGGTTTTAATCGCCCACTGCCTCGCTAAAAGGAACCTAATGGATCGCACACCATAAGAGGTGGAGATTGGAGATTAAACGGAGATGAGTAAGAATGATTAAATGGTTTAATCATTTATTTATGGCAAGGATTAATTAATATGTTAATTAATCAAACGAATAAGTTCGTTAAAGACCTCGGGATAGTTTTGGACCTTAAGGCCCAATGGGCTTCGAACGTCAAGCCCATTAACTTAAGTTGTATGACAACTTAACTTAATGAATAATGATTCACAAAGGCCCAAACAACCCAAAAATACCCCAAGGCCGGCCATGATGCTAAGGGTGGTGAACTTGGACTTAATTACAAGTTTGCCACTCAAATGAATAAAGGTATAAAGATGACTTTATAGCCTAAAATTCATTAGGGTTTGTTTTGGGGAAAATTGGAGAGAACATGTCTCTCCATTTCTCTCTAAAGAGGCCGGCCACCTTGGGGGGTACATCTAGTAATCCTACTACTCCAAGGTCACTCATATCTTCTCCAATCTAACCTTGGTGAAGAGACTTAGAGGTTCCCTATTTTGGGAACTAGGAGAAACCTATTCTTCCATCCAAATCCATAGATTTAAGATGCAAGGAATGAAGGCCCTCTCTTTGGGTGATTAGCCTTTGCTTATGCAAAGAGGAATCTTCAAAGGTATAAATTTCAACTCACTTTGTTTTGAGTTGATTAATGGTTCACCAATCTACTAGGCTTTGAATTTCTTGGTTAATGTTTTGTTTTTAAGTGCATGCTTGCATGATTCCGCCTTTAATTGTTAATTGCATGCTTATTGATGTTGCTTAAATGAACATGTTTTCACATAATAATCCTTCACCCCATAACAAAATGGGATAGCCGAGAGGAAGAATAGAGATCTACTTGAGAAGACTTGAGCAGTCATGTTGCATATGAATGTACCAAAAAAGTTTTGGTCATATGCAATCCTTACAGCCACCTATTTGATCAATAGGCTTCCTAGTCATGTTCTACGTTTCAGATCACCATATGAAACCCTTAAAGACAGACCAATAAGCCTATCACAGTTGAAAGTTTTCGGTTGCACTTGTTTTGTACATGTGCAAACTCAGCATCTTGACCAATTGGATGCTAGGGCAGTCAAATGCATGTTTATGGGGTACTCCTCCACCCAAAAAGGATATAAATGTTTTAATCCTGTCACTAACAGGTGTGTAGTATCCAGAGATGTTTGCTTTGAGGAAGAGACTCCATTCTTTAAAAAGGGTTCTACTTCATGTAAGGGGGAGCTTTTGTGTGACTTGTTTCCATTGCCTATATACACTGAGTTTTTGCGTCATGATGATTCCTTAAAAGGCAATGGCAGTCAAGAGTAAAAAGTCATGTCGAAAATGACAACTTCAACAGTTTCTCAACCTAACTCACAAGGAAATGGTGATCTTAAGGCTACACCTCAACCCTTCACTCACCAACCTTATCAAGATGTTAGGAGGAATCCACTTGGGAAAGGAAGCCTCCTGCCAAGTTTGTAGACTACGTTACTTATGCTTATAAACATCTCATCTCTGAAGTAATAAGTAATCACAGTTTTTCAATATCTCATGTGTCATTTCTTACTGCAGTCTCAAATCTTGTAGAGCCTAACACTTTTCAAGAGGCCAATCTCATCCTTCACTGGAAGAAAGCCATGTCTGAAGAACTTTAAGCTTTGGAGGAAAATTGTACTTGGAGTATCGTTCAGTTACCTCTAAGAAAGAAGGTAGTTGGGAGTCGTTGGGTTTACAAAACTAAACTCAAGGTTGATGGCTCAGTAGAAAGCACACAAAGCTCGACTTGTTGCTAGTGGTTTCACCCAAACCTTTGGGATTGATTACAAAGAAACCTTCGCTCTAGTGGCAAAAATGAGCATAGTGCGTGTGCTACTTTCAGTTGCTGTCAATTGTGGTTAGTATACTAGATGGATGTTAAAAATGCTTTCCTTCATGGAGAGTTTCAGGAGGAAGTTTACATGCAAATTCCCCCAGGTTACTCACTAGCAAAGGATGGCATGGTGTGCAAACTGCACAAGGCTATCTATGGTTTGAAGCAATCACCAAGAGTTTAGTATGCCAAGCTTAGTTTAGTGTTGGAAAAGGAAGGTTTTCTTAGAAGTAATGCCGATTCTTCCTTGTTTGTACGGAATAGAACCTGTGGAAAGTTGGTGGTCCTTATTTATGTAGATAATCTTATTATCACAGGTGACAATGCATCTGAAATTGGAGCTTTGAAAACCTCTTTACATCAAACCTTTGCCATTAAAGATCTTGGAAAGTTGAAGTATTTTCTTGGCATTAAGATGGAAACCTTTCAACGGGGTTTGTTTCTCAACCAACGTAAGTATGTCATGGATCTACTCGAGGAAGTTAAGTTCACCGATTGCAAGCCAGTTGTCACCCCAATTGACAGTAAACTTAAGCTTACCACTGATGGCGAAGCACTCAAGAATGTCACTTATTATCAAAGATTGGTTGGCAAGCTTATCTATCTTACTATCACCCGTCCAGACATTACCTTTGTTGTGAGCTTAGTCAGTCAATTCATGCATGCACCCACAGTAGAACATCTAAATATTGTTAAAAAGATTCTACACTATCTCAAAGGGTCCATTGATAGGGGTATCCTTATACGTAATAACCATTCCACTGAGATTCATGCATACACTGATGCTGACTGTGCAGGCAGTGCAATCGACAGAAAATCCACCACTGGTTATTGCACATTTGTTGCAGGCAACATTGTTACTTGGAAGAGTAAGAAACAACAAGTCATTGCCCGTTCTAGTGCTGAAGTTGAGTATCGAGCAATGGCTGCCATTACATATGAATTGATTTGGCTTAAAAGTTTCTTATTTGACCTAAGGTTCTCGAGTACAACTCATATGTCTCTCATGTGTGATAATCAAGCAGCCATGCACATTGATGGAAACCCAGTTTTTCATGAAATAACCAAGCATATTGAAGTTGACTATCACTTCATTTGGGCTCAAGTTCAATCACAACTCATCCAAACGGTATTCACTCGTAGTTATGATAAATTGGCAGATGTGTTCACTAAGGCTCTATTGTCTACACATTTTCAACGTCTTCTCGGCAAGCTTGGATCAACTATACTCCTCGATCCAGCTTGAGGAGAAGTATTGACTGATGCTGCATATGACTGATTATGCAATTCCAGAAATCATGGGTACAACATGGGCTGCACGGCCCCTTCTATGTTTCCTGACATATTATGTGTAAATCTCTTCTTAGTCTTGTAGTTAATTTCCTTCAATTAAGGAGTATGGTTAATATCTAGTGTTTGGTGTAATCTCCTTCAATTAAGGAGTATAGCTGGTCTCTAAGGTTTAGCCTAAAGACCGTTGGATGTAACTGGTTCTTCTCTTCTTCTTTTTTCTTTTATATATGTGTATCCTTGTACATTCACATTATCAGTAATACAAGAAAACTTAAACCAAAACATCAACAGCGTGGTTGTGCTCAGGTGGGAGGGGTTTTTTTTCCTTTCTTTTTGTTTCTTCAAGCTTTTAATTATAGAAAAATAGAAATTGTTATTTTTTATTTAAATACATTTAATTCACATGTCAATATTTGTTTAGGTTTGAGGGACGTAGTTATATGCAACATCAACACATAACATAATTTTTGACAAAACTGTGACGAGAAGACCACATTGATTTGCGACACTCATTTTTAAGGACGACATTGATTTTCAATTTCAAGATCGTCTTGATAAGGTGAGTCAATTTCAGGGGCCTATCATAAAATTGGTTTTTAGTGTTTCATTCCGTTGACTTCCTTTCTTGGTTTGTATTACAAACTTTGTAATGCAGTAATTGACTTGAAGTATTAATTCGGTTGTAGAAGGATCACAAGGTTATTCTAAATGTATATGACCTAAGCCAAAGATTAGCTAGCAAATGTCCATAGCTTTCTTAGGGACACCAATTAAAGTGGTAGATTTGTTTGTAAATTCATAATATTTTGTTAATTTGTGGTGAAGTGATAGGAGCATTTTTATGCGACTTAGTTGGCTTGTTCTTGGGCATTTATGTTGTGTTTCCTTAGTTATTTTAGTGTTTAAAGTCACTTTTGTGTGTTTTCAGATTCTAAGGGCAAAGTATGCAATTTGGTGCCTTTTGGAGCAAAATTGAGCTTAGAATGATTATCACATGCTTGGAGCAAAAGGAATGGACATAATTGAACATTTGATGAAGTAAGGATTCCTAATCAACGAAGGATTCCTAATTGAAGATGGATTCCTACTCACATGAGGATTCCTAGAAGAACAAAGATTCCTACTCCAACAAGGATTCCTACTTGAAGTAGGAAAGTTAAGCCAAGGTTTCCTATTTTGGTTTGACCTTTCCTAATTCTAAAAGTCCTTATGTTCCAGCCATTTGAAGACTTCATATGCATTCTAGGACACAAAACAAAGGCCCAAGAACCCTTATGGACCTTTGCCACACCTTTCCCTTTCTCACCATCCCTTGCCGTGCAAAAGAACCCTTTTCCCTTCAGTTTTAGGACACTTTACCTTCCCTAAAACATATGCTGCACCTCTCTTGACCTTTCATCTTCCTTGCTGATGCGAATAATATAAGCACACAAATTAAACCCTCTTTTTGACAATTGTAGTATAGATGTAAGTAGGGTATCGTTCTAGGCCGGGGATTAGGAGGGATTGCTAATCTATTCTAAATTAATTTAAAAATATTAAACAAGACTCAAGGACACAAAACTAGGCTAAAAACTCTAATAACTCGAAACACATTTAGAATGACTCAAAATAATGAAAACTAACTAAATAATATAATTTAATAATGGGGGGGGTTTGGTTTTGACGAGAAGTAAATTAAACTTAAATAAATTACAGAATTGACAAAAGCATAAATTAAGGTGAAAGGATAGGTGACGGACTAGCTAGAGGGTTCTTCTCCACACATGACACATATGCAACCTAAATTGATTTTCAGTTGTTCTTTCAATAAATTGTAAATCTCAACGCCCCAAATTAACCGTGAATTGCACTAATTAACCCTTAATTTTTCCACAAGTTATTGGGTTGGATGATTGCATACGACAACCCAAAACATTCCCTACAAGTTCCCTACATGAGTTGCATAATAGAGATACAAGCAAGAATCATTAAGTTTTATGAAAAACATAAGCATTGACGGGACACTCGTTACTATGATTTGCATGAAACTTATGCCAAGAATTTACTTAACGTGATTGTGACTAGCAACCTTTACTACTTGTGAATATAAGTTCATAACGATTAGGTGAAATTCACTTATATTCTAGCATCAAATTCATGCATGTAAATTAAGCGTGCACTCTCAACCAACATACACAAATCAGTTTTTATACGAACGGATAAGTAAATTGAATTCACAACTTATGAAATCACAACCGAAGGTAATCAATTCATATTACAAATATATCCATGGCTTTGAATTAACCTCTAGCCAAAATAAATTTAATTACACATTATTAAAACAAAAATAAAATAGAAGTTTGGAAAGATTAAACCGAAAGAGGAGGATGCTTCAGTCTGTCCGTGCGCCTGCCTTCCAGCTCTCCCTGACCTCACTGCCAAAGGGCAGCGTTCTTCCCTTCTTATTTTCTTATTCTGTCCGCGCCCTGCTCCGTCAGCCTTCCACGCTGACTGCTCTCTCCTCTGGTTTCACAAGTGTCTCCCTCTCTCTCCCCGCCAGTCTTTCCGTTTTTCCTCTGCCTAAGGCAGCTTTGGTTCCTGCGTCTCTGCGAGCTGCCCAAAGGGCAGCCCCTTTCTCCCGCTCCCCCCGACCCCCTTAATCACGCCAGCCTCTTCTTATTTTTATATCTTTCTTCTTCTCTATCTCTCTCTGCCAAGCCCACATGTTTTCCCTTTTTTTTATTTATTTCTCTCTTCTGTCAGTCACGCCAGCTGCCAAAGGCAGCTGTTTTTTATTCTTTCTGCCTTTCTCACCTACTTGGCCTCTTCATTTTGTCTGCCCGTTTCTTTTCTTATTTTATTCTTTTTCGTTTTTGACTCCCCCCAGTCACGTCCGCTCCTTGCTGCTTTCCTCCAGCTGCAAAGCAGCATCTTTTCCCCTAGTCCCCACGTCTCTCGATGTAAACCAGCTGGTCCACCTGCCAGTACCCACGGCAGCTTGCACTTGCCCGTCTTCTTATTTCCATTGGATTCTTCTTTTCTGCCTTCCTTTTAATATATAGACATAGAGAGGGACAAACCTTGTTTATAAAATGTAAATTAGTATTATCATGTGACAATAAAGGGTAAATTAGCATAACAGATCCTATAAACACAAAAATAACGTAAATAGCTCAAAAATATAAGGAACTAACCATGAAAAGACGAGTGAATTCGAAATAAAAATATATATAAATATGATCCGATCACTTGCCGTGCAAGGGAGAGGGTTCTTTCCTATTTCCTTGCATTAAAACACATTCCTTTTGTGTTTTATGCCTTTGCCGCACATATTAGTCAATTTCCTTTAAGTTTCTGATTTGATTTCCTATTTCTATAAGCTTTTGACTTAATTTCTGTTTACCTAAATAACCTAGGGTTTTAATTTCTGAAATCCTTTAAATAAACTTCCTTTTTGCAGTAAAAAACCATCCATTCACTCCTATTCACGCCAGAAACCATTCAACCTTCCTTGCCGTGCCCATCCTTCACCAATTTCCATAGTTTCTGACCCAAACACTTCTTGCCGCACCATACATCCATCCTAAACACAATTCTATACATCTACACCATCCATAACCCCCAAAACTCACCACCAACCCTTGTGCCGCAGCAAAGAGGAAAGAAGAGAGCCCTTGGACGTGCTTGCCATTCGATTTAGGATTGCTGGAACGTTTTAGGGGTAATCTTTCTTTTGCTTTCAATGTTTCAATTCACTAATCTTTGTTTTGTGAGTATGAGGAACTAAACCCCTCTTAGTTAAGGGGGGATTCGAAACCATGTAGATACTTGCAATATGAATTGATTACCTTCAGTTGTGATTTCATAAGTTGTGGATTTAATTTGTTTAACTGCTTGATTGATAACTTATTTGTATGTTTATTAAGAGTGCACGCTTAGTTTTCATGCATGAAAATGATGCTAGAGTATAAGGGAGTTTCACCTAATAGTTACAAACTTATATTCACAAGTAGTGGAGGTCGCTTATAAACGATTCCGTTAAATGAATTCTTGGCACTAGTTTCATGCTCATCATAGTAACAAATGCCTCGTCAATACTTATAGTTTTCATGATGCTTAATGATCTTTGATTGTATATTTATTGTGCTTTTCACGTAAAGAACTTTTGAAGAATGCTTTGAATTATTGTATGCCTTTTCCCATCCAATTCAATAACTTAAGGAGAACTTGAAGGTTAATTTAAGCGGACCTAATTAACCTGGGGTGTTGAGTTTCATGATTTATCGAAAGAACAACTGAAAATTGGTTTATGTGCAAGTGTGTCGTGTGTGGAGAAGAACCCTCTAGCTAGCCTTCCATCCATAGTTTCATCCAAATTCGTTTTAAAAATCTGTTTTAGTTACAATCTGTTTTCTTTGTTTTCAAATTCGTCAAAACCAAATGCCCCATTATTTTAAAGTGTTAGATTAGTTAGAAATCAATTTAGTTTGTGTTTTTAAGTGTTTTGATTCAAGTTATAACCCAAATTCGTCCAAGTTTGTGTTAGAGTTCAAAACTGCCCAGAAAGTGTTTTTAAGGCAGTTCTGAGTGTTTTTGTGCTGTTTTGAGTCTTTTGGTTTGTTTTAGTGTTTTAGAGTTTAGTTTTGCATTCTTTGAGTCTAGTTTAGTGTTTTAAACTTTGTTTTACGTTTTTGAGTCAGTTTCAAGTGTTTTAGCAATCCCTCCTAATCCCCGGTCTAGAACGATCCCTACTTACATACTTTACTACAATTGATAAAAAGACGGTTTAATTTGTGTGCTTATATATTTTGCATCAAAATTTTGGCGTTGTTGCCGGGGATTAGCAACTTTGCTAATCCCTCGTTATTCTTTTTATTTTCGTTTGTTTTCTATCTTAGTTGTTGATTTGTTTTGTTTCTTTGTTTTTAGGTACTAGTGTATGACTCGAAGTTCCCAACCTGTACGTGAGCA